TTCATTGCCAAGTGAGTAAGCACAATTATAGTTTTCTGGTAGGGTCGTGCATATACCACAGAGGCCAAGACTCCTTTAGAAAAAAATAAGTGCTATCACAACTGTTTCCTTGAAAATTGGGAATTTTGTCGGAGATTTGTCTTTGGCCTAAGGCTGCATTTTGCTTTGTCACTGCCTAAACTTTCTCCTTCTCTTCTCTAGTAGTTCTGCTATAAATACTTCGAAACCTCCTCCCCGAGGGGAGCAACAGAAACAGACTGTGAAGTGGATGTGTGGGGTCTCTAACAATGTTTTGAGCTCTAAGCACATAGTGCTTATAAGCAGTATCCTGAATCACGGGAAGTGAGCTTCCTATAATCTTCTGTCCTTACCATTCTCTGTGTTGACCTTCTCTCCGAGGCACTGCTACCCCCAAACCAAAAAGTGATGCCGTTTGTTAAAATTCTCTCATTCGTGCCTTTGTAAAAAGTGGCCGGGACAGAAGGAGAAAGATGTGCTCTCCTCATCCGATGCAGGAAATGCAAATGTTGGTTTGCACGCTTCGCTAAAGATAACGTATGAAGAGACCAATCTATTCTCCTGAATGGATTTTTTTTTTCTTCTGGAAACGGGTAAAAAATCTTACACACTGAGGTCATCTAACACAATATGAGCTGGTTGCCAAGCACCCAAAATGCAATCACTTGACCACTGTGTGTATTTGTCTGTCATAACTTTGAGGACAAGTCATAACTAGCTTTTTTTTTAGTCTGTTGTAACTATGCCAGCTGTTAAACAAGAATTACGTGTGTGTGTGTGTGTGTGTGTGTGTGTGTGTGTGTGTGTGTGTGTATATATATATATATATATATATATATATATATATATACATACACACACACACACATACATACCATTACTAAGAGAGAGAGAAAGAGAGAGAGAAAGAAAGAGAGATTAAACTACATCTCAGTGAATTATAGATGTATTTTGTCATTCTGCTAAATAGATGCACAGCTATTGAATCATGGAAAAATAGGAAAAATATAACATATGAAAAGTAAAAATAAAGTTTCTTTTGTTATGAACTAGACTGCTAATGAGTTTCATGGATGCCAGTACGCTAGGCAAAATACCTAACATATACAAAAATACTAAAAATGAGCTTATTGCTGAGGTTATTCATGAGTTTCTGACAATAAATATATGCATTTATGCAGACATAAACAAGAATGTTTAAGCAGTATAAAAATTAACAGCTTGATTCTAGCCTACATCACAATAAATCTGTCTTCCATGTGCTAAAGGCTCATTTTTATAGCTTACATTTTCTGTATAAATGAGGGTCAAACCTAGGTTACATTAAATATGTAGCACGCAGCTGAACCTTGAAAAAGATACTGTAGTTATAAGAGAAAAGATGTATAATAATAACACATAAAATAATTCTCAATGCTGAGAAAAATACAAATAGAAATGGCATTCCGTCAGTTGGGAAGATTTCGAATACCACAAAAGAGAATGAAAATATTGGTGAAAAAAAGCTTGACAGCTGAAGACCTAAATCAGAGGTCCCTAACCTTTGGGGCACCAGGGACCGGTTACGTGGAGAGAGGTTTTTCCGTGGACCGGAGGGGGTGTGGTTTTGTGTGCTGCCTGCATCCTGCAGATGGGGCTTTGCTTGTTTGTGCGGCCCGGTTGCTGGCATGCCACGGCCCGGTACCGGTCCACAGACTGGGGGTTGGGAACCCCTGATCTAAATAATTCAGAAGAGAGCAATGAGTCATTGGCCAAAGAATAAACCCCAACGGACCATGCCATACCACCTTCAGAATTACGGTTACAAGAGAGGCTTCAGAATGGAGCTCATCTTGACTGGCAAAGCTTTGTCTTTGTGTTATCAGTTAGCGTAGCACGAAGAAAAATGAATGGCTTCAGTCCCTTCCCCTAAATCAATTGTCTAGGTGTGTGACCTTTGCTTGAATAAATCAAATTGCACGGTAATTTTAACTTGATAATGTTGCCAGAACGAGAACACGGATGGAGAATTGGACGGCTCATAAGAAATTTAGCAGTTCACTGGCTGGTCAGCTATTGGGACAGGCATTGTGAGATTATAGTCATGGTCACTGGTCATTCCTCTGTTTGGAATGAGTTTTAAATTTTGATTATAACTATTTGTAGATCCGGTATGTAAAAGGAGGGGAATATATTAGGTTTTTGATGTATTTTTCAGCATTCAGCCAATTATTTTTAATGTTTAACGTTAGATATATTTGGTATTAGGAATTTTTTTTGTACACATGGTTTTCCTCTTTTTGTTTGTTAGTGTTGGATAGTTGTTAGTCTTTTTTTCCCTTTTCTGTTTGAAAAGATGGAATGAGTTTTGAATTGCAGCCACAAAATTATTTCCTTCTCTGTGTCTATCTATCTATCTATCTATCTATCTATCTATCTATCTATCTATCTATCTATCTATCTATCTATCTATCTATCTATCTATCTATCTATCTACCTACCTACCTACCTACCTACCTACCTACCTACCTACCTACCTATCTATCTATCTATCATCTATCTACCTATTATTAATCTACTTCTATCATCTATCTGTCTATCATCTATTGATCACATCTATCTATCTATCTATCTATCTATCTATCTATCTATCTATCTATCTATCTATCTATCTATCCATCTACCTACCTACCTACCTATTATTAATCTACTTCTATCATCTGTCTGTCTGTCTGTCTACCTATCTATCATCTACCTATTATTAATCTTCTTCTATCATCTATCTGTCTATCATCTATTGATAACATCTATCATCTATGTATGTATGTATGTATGTATGTATGTATGTATGTATGTATGTATGTATCTATGTATCTATGTATCTATGTATCTGTCTGTCTGTCTGTCTTTCTATCTATCAATCAATCATCTATCTACCTATTATTAATCTATTTCTATCATCTATATGTCTATCATCTATTGATCACATCTATCATCTATCATCTATCTATGTATCTATTTATCTATGTATCTATCTATCTATCTATCATCTATCTGTCTACCATCTTTAAGAAAGTAATCTAAGATGTAAGATTTTCATCCTTTGGGTTTTTTTTCAGAAATGAAAAAATGCACAATTGTAGAATTAGTGACTACACAGGTTAGGCTCCTATTCAGATGTTCTTTGCATTTATTAAATAAATAATAAATAAATGTTCAAACACTGAATGAAGTTCTCTCTCTCCATGTCACTCACATACACACACACACACACACACACCTACAAACTTCATCCACAAAGCTACTTCTCCACATTCCACTCCATCTGTCAAGGGCTAATGAGTTTCTGCATAATCGTGGCACTTTGCAATGCAGTTATCTTTAGAAACATCATAAAGAGATTTCTTTTTCAAAAGTGACAAAAGGTTGGTTCCACAGCCCTGAAATATCTGTAACAGAATATTAGTCTGCTATGCTGGAATAATGTTCCCAGAACTGCCATATAACAGCTCAGTTTGCGGCATTAAATTCCATGCAACAGTTGGTGTGCACAGTAGTCTTGGTGTTTAAAAAGCATTAAAGCCTGTTTCCAATGAACAACTTTTACCAAGGCGAGCCAAATTGATGTTCCCAAGACTCAACTGAAAACTGTGGAAGATATGAGAATCTGTTGTGTGATTCCTCAAGACAATGTACAATGTGGAACTGTGACACTGTACAACTCCCTGTGTGCAGATAATATTAATTCTTCCGAAGAAAAGAAATAAAACTGACAACATTTTGCAATGTTCCCCATTAAAGCCACACGGCTATCACCGAAACTACAGTTACAGTGCCATAATTCTATGTGATCAGCTGGACAGAAATATCTGTCCTCAAATACCTGTTAAGAAATTAAGCCAATAAACAGCAATGCTAAATTCAGGTGTGCTCTTAGTGGCTTAGCTCTTCATGCTAGACCCTAAATCACACTTTACAAGTTGCATAGGTTGGCTTCACACAATGATGACAAGAACATTGAACAAAGCGCATATCAGCATAGTGGATATTTCAGAACTTTTCAACTGGGTAAATTAGTGGGTGAGTTTAAACAGATTAATTTGGAAAAGTACCACCCCCACCCCCCCAAAAAAATGCCTTTCTGTATCTAAAAAGTGAACCATGGGGGTGTGAACTGATGCTTATTAATTTAGAAACAATCTCCATCTAACATGGAGGAAGCTTGCTTAAAATGTTTGCTTTTGTTTTAAATTCCACAAAATTATCTGGTAATTCTGCTTGCAGCCTTTCATTGCTGTGGCAATTAAAACTACAAAATGGTTACTTCAGTGCTTCACAGTTTGTATGCCATGAATTCATTACAAGTATTCAAAGCTTGCATTTTCTTTTTTTTATTTTATTTCATTCAAGGAACATAATAGATAGGTATGTTATCTGTGAGCCATGGTGGCACAGTGGTTAGAATGCAGTATTGCAGGCCGACTCTGCCCACAGCCTGGAGTTCAACCCTGACTGGCTCAAGATTGACACAGCCTTCCACCCTTCTAAGGTCAGTAAAATGAGGACCCAGATTGTTGGGGACGACAGTCTGACTCTGTAAACTGCTTAGAGACGGTTATAAAGAACTAAAGCAATAAAGGTCTAAGTACTATTGTTATTGCTATATTATAGAATATACAAGCACTAATAACTGGGCATTACTAGTCAAAAGTTTTGATCAACTCTTTAAATTTTATGCAACTCTCCATGCCTGACTGAGATTTTAAATCAGATGCAATAATAGAAAGGAAAGAAGAATTTTTAAAGAGAAATAGGTCAAACAATTGTAAAGAAAAAACTATTGGGGAAAAAAAAGGTAATAGCCCGTCACTTGCCTTTCTAATTAAACCGTTTGGGAATAGAAGCTTCATACAACATGTAGAGTGTTCTTGCAGATAGCCATTCTAGCATGCCCAAATCTCTAAGTCTCTCCCAGTTGCTATTCTCAATCCCCCCCTACTCACTTGCCATTTAAAGCTGCCACCCCAACGGTGCTTCTGGCAATGGACATATTGGCCACAAAGGTCCACTGTTGACTTTGTGGGTCCCACCTCTCGACTGTATTCAAATAGCTCCAGCCATCATGACCTCCTACTGCATAAATGGGCCCTTCAAGAACAGTAACTCCTAAAAAGAAGAGGCAGAGAAAGAACGTGAGAACAGACCAGCAATGGAAGGAAAGATTTCTAAAGGCTAATGTGAGGTCCTTGGTGCTCTCTGAGCTTGGTTGTTTTCTTGCAGACGTTTCATTTTACCCAAACGAGGTAACATCATCAAGGCTATGAGAAATGCAAAATATATCATGGGCCAATGTAGGGGGCCATGAAGTACTGGCCAGGTCCTACTAACATGAAGATCCTAATGAGGGGACATCTTAATTGCACAGTCTGCTTAGGTAGCTGTGAAGAAACCTATATCATTTCTTCACAGGGGTGAGAAATTTTTCTCTTGTGGGGTTTTTTGGGAGGGTTATTTATGCAGTTGCTTGTTTCCCATAATTGATTTTAGGGGGAGGTGCTCATATCTGATTCTAGGCCATTGAACCAGAGCTGTCTGAAGACGTTTCTGTGGTCATGTAGCCAACATGACATTGCAGCGAAGCACAAAGCATACAGTGAAACATGGAACACTGTGATCTTCCCGCCAAAGTGGTACCTATTGATCTACTTGCATTTACAGGCTTCCTAACTGGTAGATAGGCAGGAGTTGAGGCAGGTGACAGGAGCTCACTCCATCACACAGTAGGAGGATTTGAACCACCAGACAACAGACCTTCTCCAACGTGTTTTAAACTATTGACCACCACACCTTTACCATGATAGGGGACAGGATAAATATTCTGAATGGGCTAGGATTCATTTAACTTTTATTTACACTCTGTTGCTTCAGTGAGTTGGTTTGTGGAGGCTTGGCATGTCCAACATGTGCAATTTTCACTTTTTTTAAAAAAAAAAAAAGAAAGAAAGAAAAAGAAAGAAAAGTGATTCTGAAAATACCAGTTCTGCTGGTGCAAAGATTGCCCACAGAGATTCATAAAAAGTATTCCTGAATATTCCTGTATGCTTTAGATTTTGTTTGCTAATTATTTTTTATTAATGATTTGCTTTCTTTTTAGCATTTGATAGAGACCCCAGAGAATCCCACAAGGGTGAAGCAGATCTCCTTATTCCCAAGACTGAAGTACCTGACCCAACATTTTTGAGCTTGACTTAAATATATTCTTTCATCCTTCCTGAAAGTTCTCTAATTTGCCTATAATAGCTTTATCCAAGGGCAGAATGGCCTCACGACATCTTATGTGCCATGGTTATATAAAAATACTACATAGTGAATCTTGCTGATCTTTTCTTCTGAGGATTTGAAATTTTTGAAAGAAGGAGGCCTCACAATGACCCAGAATTGTAAAGAAGGAAGAAGTCAAACATTAAATCTTTCCTTCCTGAAATTTTGCCAACACGTCAGCAGTGGGGCAGAAGGAGGGGTAGATGGACAGGGAGAGATAAGTGCTCCCGTATAGTCACAACTGGGGCACAAAGCTGGACTGTTCTCTTCTGCTGTGCATTTCCAACATCTGGATATGAACATCAAAAATGCATTCAACTCTCCCGGCTCATAACATTTGGATGGTTTATCCTGCTTTTCCAGGCCACCAAAATCAACCTCAATGGAGTAGTTGTAAAGCAGGTGTCAATGTTGCATCTCCCATGCAGCTTCTCTGTCACAGTAGACCACATGTCAGCTAAATGATAGCTTTTCATGATCCGCTATTGCTCACATGGGGACCATTAGATCTGCAGACAAAATGAATCCTGAAACTACATGGCTTATTTTCAGACTTCAGATCTCTTAATCATCTTACAGAATTCTAAGCTTTATGCTGTTAATGGAACACGTCCTTTTAAGGGGCTCTTATAACTTGTTGAGATAACTGAAGATGAATACTTCTCAGGCAGAACAGAAAGATAAGAGAGATAACTATTCCAAATGAACCTAAAGCTAAAATATTTTTTTCCTCCAGTGAATATTTAACTTCCTTCTTTTATACTCTGTTTAATTCAAGCAACATCTCTCTCTCTCTCTCTCTCTCCCTCTTTCTGTCAAAGCAAGAATATACTGTATTGCACTTTCATCTATCTCTCTTTCTTTCGTGTATCCCTCCATCCATTTATCTACCTACTACCTTCTGTAGGTTCCAAACTAGCCTAAGCATGAACCATTTCTGGTTGACTTTCTGACAACAGAGCAGCCGTTTTCTTATGTATGAAGAAGCCTCTAGATAATATAAATTGGACTGTAACTTACAACCTCAACTGGACTGTAACTTACAACCTCAATTGGGATTGGAATTTTGGTGGCTAAGTGAAAAACATGAAAAGTATCTCAGCTTTTGGGATATTCCTGTGTGTTTTAGATACCTAAAGCATAGTCATTAAGCACCTCATCACATAACCGGATCCTATTTTGCAATCATTTTTGCCATGGGCGTTAATTGAATCATTATGGTTAAGCAAGCCTGAATATCCCCCCTCCCCCACACACAAATTGACTGGCTGGGAAGGTTACAGATCATGATCATGTGACTGTACGATGCTGCAACCATTTTGAAAGCAAGCTGGTTGCTAAGACTCAAATTGTGATCATGGGACCATGGGGATAATGCGATGGTTGTAAGTTCAAAGATAGGTTTGTTGTTGTTAGTTTTGAAGTAATGTTTGACCCATCATGACCCCATGGACAATGTTCCTCCAGGTCCTGTCCTCTACCATCTTCTGGAGTCCATTTAAGCTCACTCCTACTGCTTCAGTGACTCCATCCAGCCACCTCATTCTCTGTCGTCCCCTTCTTCTATTGCCCTCAATCTTTCCCAGCATTAGGCTCTTCTCCAGTGAGTCCTCCCTTCTCATTAGGTGGCCAAAGTACTTGAGTTTCAAAAAGATAGGTTACAAGTTCTTTTTTTCAGCACTAACGTAACTCTGTTGTTAAAAAAATAGTCGTAAGTTGTGAACTATCTATACAGCACTTAGGCAGCTTCCATGACATGGTGGTGTCAGAATTAATTGAACTTTTCTTCTTTTGTCCAGGAAAAAAAGTTGTTTCTCTCCAACCTAATTCTGGCAATGTATGCACATATAACCAATACTACTCCCAGTAAACAGACAGTGTGAATCTATTTGATGCTTTAAAAAACAACAACAGTCTGGATGTGCTGAGAATATAATATGAGACCCCACAAAGGCCTTTTGTTGAGAGGAAATAATAAACAGGGGAATCGTGTTTGTTTCTTTAGCTGAGGAGTCTCATTATAGGCCAGTGTTGGAGAATCTTTTAGAGACCGAGTGCCCAAACTGCAACCCAAAACCCACTTATGTATCGTTGGGTGCCTGGTGGGCATGTTCCATTGGGTGGACGTGGCCCATTGGGTGGGTGTGGCTGCAGTGGTAAAGGCAGACTGGGTGGGACTAAAAAGTTCAATCAATCAATTCCAACTTTGCGAGATCTTTTTTTTTCCTGCGAGAAGTTGAAATTGACGGCGTGTGTGCCCACAGAGAGGGCTCTGCGTGCCACCTGTGGCACGCGTGCCATAGGTTCGCCACCACGGTTATAGGTGAATCTCCAAAATTTTACTTTCCATGAGTTCTTTTGAATCCATTTTTTTTAAAGGGCTGCATTTGATTTTTGGTGTCGTTTTTAACTTAAAAGAAATGAATCTCAGGTAAAAATGTAAATGTGTTTTGATTGTCAATAGAAATGCATCAGAACTAGATAACTGATCTTTTTTTCTCCCTTTCTCTTTCTCTCTCTCTCACACACACACACACACACACACAAAGACACATAGAGACATACACACACACACACACACACACACACACAGGAAAAGTTCATTAATGGTAGCTGAATGTTTCTGTGATTTGGGAAAAGCAATATATATTTTTTAATAAATATGGGACCCTCAGGGCACTGAAAATAAATTGAAAAAGTACCACCATTACTTAGAAAGTAATAAAACTGTGGAAGGTGTATATGTAAAAATCATAAACTCTTTCAAATATACTAACCCATTTTTGTTACACATCCTTGGACCTGATCAACTGGACATTTAGCTTTACTGCACTGTTTTATATAAGGTATAAAATCTGGAAATTGAAGGGATACTTAGGATGTGAGTCTATAATTTTTGACAACGTGTTCCAGGGGGCAAAAAAAGAAGGTCTCCTTCCACAAAACTCAGCTTTGGGATGGAGAGATCCAATCTCAAGGGCTATCTTTTTTAATGCCACAGTTTTGATGGTTGCTGTCTCTTTGATAAATGATTTCACATGGTTAGAGCTAAAAGAGAAAGAAGGTATTATATATGTTTAGTCTCAACAGAACCCAAAACTACTTCTGAAAATACTGCAAGGGCACTCTAAATATTTTAGTTTATTCAGATAAATATAATATAGATACAGTATTTAAAGTTATTTAACTTGAGGGATGCTTGGCGCTCTCTGAGCTTGGTTGTTTTCTTGCAGACATTTCATTACTTAAATTAAGTATGATCATCTGGGCTAGTGCTAAGTGACAAGACTAGCACAGATGTTGTTATCTAGTTTGGATGATGAAATGTCCCGAAAACAACCAAGTTCAAAGAGCACCAATGACCCCTCATTTCAACCCTGAGCTACTAATATTCTCCTTTATTTAGTTATTTAATTACTACCTTCCTAAATAGAAAGGTCTTTAACAGCTTCTGGAAAATTACGAATAGAACAAATAAGGCAGAAACAGATAGGTTCTGCCCCCAAAAAGGATTTCATGGGGATGCATCTCAAGATGTTGTGATATAAGCATGGGGCTTCATGCATTGGTTCAGATATCCTGGATTCAGAGGGTTATGATCCAGAAACAATTGGGAATATGGGCAATAAGAACGTTGCATTCTGGAGTAATTAAAATTTCTAATTCAGATGTATTATAATTATGCTATCTACCACTGTGGCTACATCTGCATTCTCCAACAATAGATACAATTGGACATCAACCTCCAAAAGACCCTCCTGGACACAGTTAAAAGTAGGAATTCAAGTTGATCATTGAGTCTAGAAGAGTATCCGGTCACTAAGATTTTGTGTTTATGGGTGTCT